TTGTTTCTTCACCTTGCCACATTAGTTTTTCCAGTTCGGAAGTTGTTTTAAGTGTTGCTAATTGTCTTAAACGTTCACAATGAGGATATATTAATCCTTTTTGCAATATTTGCGATTGAAAGATGGTTTGTGGTAAGAACTGGCTTTCTTTATGTTACAGCCTTGATACTAAAAAAATAAATAAACAATGTAAAATGGCACCATGTATTGAATGTAAACGTTGTATAAATGTAAATAAACAATTCTCCAGCAATTTAATTTTTTCCCCTTCCTTTCTTTAGTCCACTTGACATGGAGCCACGGTTAACTAGTTTGGGGCACATTTTTACTTGGAAAAATAGTATTTAAACTGATCAAGCTTTGGCTTTAATGACACTGTGTAGGTTACTATCTATACATTACGTTGCTCTATTTAAAAGTAACAAGATAAAAGCACATCAGCACATACAATTAAGATTGTCACTTGCCAAATAGAGACTACACCCTCCTGTTTACCTATAAGAAACGCCTCAAAATGTCTTTAAATTCTTTATTGATGATTTAATTGTAGACAACTAAAATGGCATTTTACTTGCCAAAAAGTGATTGAATCGCTCAGATTTTCATGGAGGCTAAAATTGACCAAATAAGGGTTTTATGTATTATCTGTTGATGTTACTGTACTCATACTGTCTACTGTATCATCATAAACACCCCAAAAATGGCAAAAAAAAAAGATAATTTCCCTTGCCAAAAATTGATTACAGTGTCCTGGTCACCCATAAAGGCTTAAATTGGCATAAATATGACTTCATTTATTATGATGCTGGGTGTGTTCCACAATCATATTCGAATAAACATGAAAATATTCCGTCCGAATATCTGTTTCTTGTTATAAATATAACAGCTAGAAGGATTTACAGTTAAAATAGGAGAAACATTTCAGGAAACTATTGTCAATTAACCACAGAAATAGGGACTAATAACATCAAGAGATAATAAATAAGGTAATATTTAGGTAAATTTAACCCTTTACACGTGACTCCCCAGGAAGGGTCGTAACACCACTTGCCTCACGCACATAAGTGACCAAAACAAAGCAGCATGGAGACACTCCGTCTCCAACCACCTCTCAGGCAGCAGCCTGCATGATCTACACGTCACCAGAATATAAACAACCGCAACACAATAAAAGCAGTGTTATACAAAATGGAAGGCCTGTAGTGTTTATTCTCTTACAGTAACAACTTATCAATTTTTTGGAGGAATTTATTTGAGATTTTTTGGTTTTTATTAATTGTGCAATAGAAAAATAATCGCTAAATTAATCATCTAAATAGTCATTAGAATAGTTGACTATTCGATAAAATAATCGTCAGAATAATCACTTTAAAAATAATCATTTGCCCCCAACCCTACTTTTTTAGAATACCAGGATAGGAAGGATGGTGTAGGTTTACGTTTATTAGATTGATACATAAATATTACCAATAAGAAAGTGTACGTTGGTGTGTGTCAGAAACAGCGTAAGGCTTAATGTCTTTTCCAAAAACCCAGGTGATGGGCCGGTCTCCAATCAAAATGCCCGGCTGAATTTTTGTCCCAGTCCAGCCCTGGTCGCAGCTGCCCGCAGCGCCGCTTCAACAGTGTGATACTCCCACGAGGGACGAGCGAAATATTAAACACACCAGAAGTCCCTGCGACCTCACGACTGCTGATCGGCGGCTGGTCACGTGGTGTTAATCGCCTCTCGTAACCCCCTGTACACTACACGACCGCTCGGCGCAAAACTCGCCCCGATGTCGTGGATTCTCGCACGACTGGAAAATCGGCTCAAAAAAGTGAAAAAGTCGCACAGTGTACGCCCGGCTTTAGGGGAGTTTTCCTCTCTACTTTCGCTATATACTTGCTTAGTATAGGGATTGCTGAAGGCACTGACACAACAGAGTGACAGCTGCAAGTCTGTACCTCCATGCAATCTGCTGGGTTTCCTTAAGCCACTTTCACATCTGGCCCGGTCTGGGCTGGGTGGCGTACCGGTAGGTTTTGTTCACACACACTTCTCAGAAATGTGCAAATCTCCGAGCCTGTGGGCTGAGCAAAAGACCAGCAGAGAAGTCTGTGTTGTCTTCTAGGGTAGCCTCGCGGTCTTAAAGTCTTTAAGACCGTGTGGCTTAAATTTTATTAGTATTGACTTGAATTTAAAATATGTTTGTCTCATGCTTGTAAATTTGTTGCTTTTCAAGGAAAACTGTTGTTTGTGAAGCCAGATATGACGTTCACATGAATCGAAGAGTTTTTGTTTTAGGAGGGGTGGTCGGGTTTCAGTCGCTCTTTATAAGAGTCAGTTTTACGATAAAGGACGTGTTCATCTTGTTCACAAATTATCTTTGTTAATGGGTCACAAGTATGAAGGTAATTTGTTTCAAAATGCACAAACTTGTAGATAAGTAGTGTGTTTGTATGATTTGAGCTTGAAAAGTGTGTGTGTGTGTGTGTGTGTGTGTGTGTGTGTGTGTGTGTGTGTGTGTGTGTGTGTGTGTGTGTGTGTGTGTGTGTGTGTGTGTGTGTAGTAGAATGTAAGAAGCTGCACTCCAAAACGTGCAAACCTGTAAAGATAAATGTGTACTTGTAAGAAAAACTCACATGCATGTGAAATAAAGTAAAGGTGTGTGTAACATTTTCAACTACAAGTCTGTGAACACAAGTCTACAGATCTGTTTCTGAGCATGCCCAACGTTTTTCTACAGGTGTGCAACTCCGCTCTTACTCGGGTGAGTTTTGAAACACATATGGCGCCGTCGTCCCATCCTCTCCTTGCTTCAGCTCCGCTCTCCCCCATAGGTTCAAGTGGATTTTTTTGGTTTTGTTACAGACCAGCGACGTACGTGCTTCAAAATTCACCAGTGTGAGTGCGGAGTTATTTCTTGTACCCCTACGGCATCTTTTCGTTTTCCTCTAATATTTGGTGAAGACGGCTAGAGGCTAACGTTTAGCTAAAAATGCTGAAGATGAATTAGAAAAAATTGAATATTCCAAGCTACCTTTGTCAATCTACAAGGGTTTCCCCCAGCACTTTATAAGCCTGGCGGCCCGCCAGGCTTTGCTTAGCCACCTGCCAGGCTAAGCGTCATGCCCCAACCCTATGGTAGGGCTGCTCAATTAATCGAATTTTAATCACGATTACGATCTGAGTTTTGAACGATTATAAAAAACATAACAAGCCGATTATTTGCTCCTCCCGCTTGCGCTGCCCTAAGTTGCAAATGAAGCGCTCCTCACAGTGTTGCCAACTTAGCGACTTTGACGCTATTTCTAGCAGCTTTTCAGACCCCCTTCTTAACTTTTTAATCCTAAAAGTACCTAGCGAACATCTCAGAAACATCTCTGGTAACCCTTAGCTACTTTCTGGATAACTGTCGTCGACATTTCCTGCAGGTTAGCTAAACACTCCGCCTGTGCTCCGGACCGTTCTTCACAACATTAGGAAAGGGAATGATGCAGTGATGTGTCGGTCGCTAAAGACAGCTCTCGGAGCCGGCTCCTTGTTGGATTAACCAGAGTGAGTGACACACACACCGCACCTGCGGTCTCCTGAGCAGCTAAAAACAGCTAAATGTGCGCGTGCGGCGTGCTAAACACAAGTGCAGCTTGCCCGATTGTGTGAGACCGGGGTGGGGGGGTGGGGGGTGCAGCTGTGGTCGGGACAATTATTACATTAACTGATGGGCCTGTAAATAAATAGTTTATAAATAAGGTAGAAATAAGTTCCTCACGCTGATAACTAATCTCTCTGAGGACACAGTGCTACAGCACCTTGACACGACTCAATAAATGTTATGTAACATTTTGTGAACATCAGTTTATTTGCATTTATTTGTTATAAATGCCACTCTATAATTCTTGCTGTCAGTATTTGCAAGATATTGGTATTTGGGTCTGTACTGGTTAGACTTACATGAGTTAAACCAAGGTCTATAGCCCTTGGGTCATAGACTATGAGCTATAAGTATATTGGTCCTTTTATCCTGGGAATCAGGAGTTCTTTTAGTGATCATCTTGTTTCTTATTTTTGTCCTGATTGTGCCCTGAGCAGTTTTATGACTGAATAAAAACAAATAAAATCAACATAAATTGAAAAATCGTCCTAAATAATCGTGATCTCAATTTCAGTCACCATAATCGTGATTATTATTTTTGCCATAATCGAGCAGCCCTACCCTATGGTGTCTGCTGACACGAACGGCGCAACAAAACTAGAGCCCTCCATCAGCTGATACTGGTGAGAAACAGCGGTGGAACGTGTGCAACCCCCCACCCACTCATCTTCACTCGTTATCTAGAACAGCGGTACTCAATAGGCGGCAAGCGGGCCAGCTCCGGCTCGCGGGTTCCCTCTTTGTGGCCTCCGCATCCCGTACACCCCTGTCTGACCGAGGTGTAGGAACGCAGTGGTGTGCATGCGCTGTGCTGTTTTGTTCTGAAACCTGGATTGCAGTACTCACATTTCAGTGCAGGATGTCGGTCTTACCCCTCTTTTAAATAATGTAGGAAAAAACAAGAATTTCTTTCAGTTTTTGTATCTGACTCAAAAAAACGAAATGATCACTTTTTAATATTTTGTTTTCAACTGAAAAAGGGAATAACAAATTATAAATTGTATATCAAATGTTCCTCGAAAACAAAATTATCTTTTATTCGTCAGATTTCCTCCCTACACAAACACGGACTCATGCAGAACAGTCTTGTAACAGACACGAGCTGCTAAATGATGGAAAGACCCAACAGAAGCCGCTGCTTCTGACACAAAGAGCCACAAACTTCACAACCTTACTGACTAACATTTGAGACAAAGTCCAACCAGCACAAACCAGGAATACATTCTACCCTTCAGTGCTGCGAGCTCAAACAGAGCATCGAGAGGTGGGGGAGCTAACCCTGGAGAAACCAGTCAGCCGATTGGAGCATTGGGATCACGCTCCACCCCTCAGGGCTCCACCATCTCAGGGTCACTGTTTTTCTGTCAAATCAAAGTTCAAATATTAGCAGATGTTTGCTTTCGTGCCACAGCTGTAACAGCAGCTCTAAAGCTCAGGGTGAAGGGTTCTGCCCCTCCTCTTCCTCAGCTGCTCCAGACTGGAGCAAGGTTCTGATCCGTATCATGACTGAAGCAAAGGGGTGAGTCCAACAGAATAATCCGTCTCAGTTCAGTTCGATTGGATCCTGCTGGTCCAGAAACTTCATTTATCTAAAAAAGTACAAAAACAACTGGAAGTCTAAAACCCAAAACGTTTTTCTTCTGGTTCAGAAAAATCTAGTTAAGGCAAATGAGCCTTATAATAATACAAGAATTTTGAAGTGCAGGTTGTTTTATATAAAAACACCGTTTGTGTTTCCAGAGAGGCGGTGGGGCCAGTCCGGGTCCTGGCTGCTGTGTATTGGATCAAGTGAATCATTCCCAGTTTAGCAATGATAAAGTACTACCATCCTGATGTCAGCTTCCCTTAGAAACAGAATCATCCTGATTTTAGACAAAAACAGTCCAGTGCTGAGTTCTGTTCAGTCTGAGTCTTATAACTGGGTTGTTGGATCAAGTTCTGCTCAGTCTGTCACAGTTGTTGTGCCCTTGGGCAAGACACTTAACCCTCCCAGCCTGTTGGAGGTGGTTGGAGGGACCAGTGGCACTAGTGTTGAGCAGCCTCACCTCCATCAGTGTGCCCCAGGGCAGCTGTGGCTACATCGTAGCTCATCACCACCAGCATGTGAATGGGTGAATGACTGATTGTGAAGCACTTTGAGGCGTTGTAGAACCCTTGACGGCGCTATACAAATACAGGCCATTTATCATAACTCCAATGAATGAATGATTATTAGCGTGTAACCACTGGGCCCTCACAGGTAAGTGTGACTGTACCAGTCAGTCAGCAAAGAACCACCTTATCCAACCGGAGGCTTTATCAAATGCCAGACAGTACCCCAGAAATGTTTTCATATCTCTGTTTCCATTCGGGGTAATTTTGTGCTTGCTGTGGAATGATAATTGATGGGGTTGATTTAGGGTTGGGGGGGTCGGTCGGTTTGGGACAAGGAAGGGCCGTAGCAGCTGTATGATGTTGTCCAGATAACTGTAGTTACACATTAAACAGCCTGCAGACTCCTCCAATTGGATCCAGTCATCTCGGACTCCTGCTGACCTGTGCTGGTCTTTTGGTTTCATGTGACATTCAGGCAGAAGCAAAACAAATCCTGTGTTCTGCAGGTTTAGGACGTTCTCGTGTGCAGCTGTGGAGGTGAAGAATGAGCCAGTCCTGGGTTTTAAGGAGGGGAGTCCGGAGCGAGGCGAGCTGCTGAAGGTCTGAAGGTCTCTTTGTTTTTTCCAACACTCAAGAGTCAGCTGATCATGTCTAAACTGATTTCATGTGAGCAGGTTCTGGATGGCCTGAAGGGGACGACGGAGGAGGTGCCGTGTGTGGTGGGAGATGAACACATTTGGACCACAGACATCCGATATCAGCTGTCTGTGAGGAAAATTCTCAGCTCTCTGATCTGCCTTGAATGTATGATTACCATTCTGACTCATCTCTGTTTCTGTCGAAAAGCCCTTCAATCACTCTCACAAGGTGGCAAAGTTCTGCTACGCCGACAAGGTGAGTTTCCTTAACCACGTTGAGTACTGAACATCATGTTAGGTTAGGAGTCTGAAGCTCTTCATCCTATTTGAAGCTGTGATCATCAACCAACAGGAAACACATCTCAAGCTTTTAGCACACCCTAGTGTGTGTTAGTGTTTCTAACACCGTAATCTAACTGCTTAAATGTCTCCTCAGCCTTCATTAGTGTCTACAGGAGAAGTTCATCACCATGTAACACCCGTAGCAGGTAGCTAGTTAAGAAACCTTGTAGTTTGTTAGAGGTATAGTACTCTAGATGGGGCCCTGGGAACTTCTAATTATGACTTTTCCAACAAATGGCTCACGAGATACAACATTTTATGCATTTATGGGTTGTTGTTTTTTTCATCCATCCATTCATTTTTGCCCGGTTATCCGGCATAGGGTTGCAGGGGCAGCAGCCTTAAGCAGGAAGGCCCAGACTTCCCCCTCCCCAGCCACTTGTACCAGCTCCTCTAGGAGAATCCCAATGGCATTCCCTGTCCAGCCGAAAGACATAGCCCTTCCAGCGTGTCCTGGGTCTTGCTTTAGGCCTCCTCCCAATTGGACGTGCCTGGAAAACCTCACCAGGGAGGTGTCCAGGAGGCATCCTGACCAGATGCCTGAGCCACCTCAACTGGCTTCTCTCGACGTGGAGCAGCAGCAGATCTACTCTTGAGCCTCTCCCGGATGACTGAGCTTCTCACCCTATCTCTAAGGGAGAGCCCAGACACCCTGCAGAGAAAACTCATGTCAGCCGCTTGTATCTGCAACCTCGTTCTTTCTGTCGCTACCCAAAGCTCATGACCATAGGTGAGGGTAGGAACGTAGATCCACCGGTAAATCAAGAGCTTTGCCTTCTGGCTCAGCTCTCTCTTCATCAAGACAGACCAGTACAATGCTCGCATCACTGCAGACACAGCACCAATCCACCTATCGACCTCACGCTCCATCCTCATCCCTGACCCAGAGAAGGCATTCTACCCTTTTCCGACTTAAGCCCAAGGTCTCAGATTTAGAAGAGCTGAGATTAGCAGGCCCCTGAGGCCCAAACTTGAATAGCCCTGCTCTATATGTTAAAAATCTTGTCCTGTTAAACTCTTTGAAGATTTGGTATCAGTTTAGAAAACACTTCAATTTTGTCTCAGTCTCTCCTTTAGGCCCACTGTGTAACAATAACTTGTTCCATCCATCATATCAAGATTTCAGCTTTACTTCATGGTGTCAGCGGGGTATACAGTCTTGTGCTAATCTTTATTCAGATGGTATTTTTAACTCCTATGATAATTTGTCATCATTGTTCGGTTTACCTGCTAATAACTTGTTTAGGTATTTTCAGGTGAGACATTTTGTAATGTTTGGATTTGTCGTTTTCCTTTTTGTTGCCCCATTGTCTTTTCATTTGTTTATGTTTTTCAGAAAGTTTATGTTAAAAATTTCAATTACATATCTGGCAAAATATATAAAGGTCGGAGAACATGTTTCTTATGGTTGTGTCCATTTGGATCCATTTCAGGAACTGATCAATAAGGCAATCTCAGCGTCTGTGGCAGCAAGGAAAGAATGGGACCTTAAGCCCGTCCAGGACCGGGCCGAGGTCCTCTTCAAGGCTGCAGATGTCATCAGTGGACCCAAGAGAGCAGAGATTCTGGCTAAGACCATGATTGGACAGGTATGTGAGACACCTGTGAGAACAGGTGATCCGATGCGGGTGTCTGTTTTAATTCTGATTTAAGTAAATCCACCTGTAGCCTTATGTGTGAGAAGGTTGTTGTCCTCCTGTCGGGTTTCTTAACTCATTCACTGCCAGCCGTTTCCTGATGGTTAAAGCCCTTCGCTGCCAGCGTTTCTCACCATTTTTACTGGGGTTTTTTAAGAGTCACAGAACGTTGCGCGCTAGGATGATGTTGACGCCAAAACAACCAAAGCAAAGCGGGAAGAATCCGCGCGTTTGGAGCTTCATCCGTTTTTTCATAATCCGTAGTTGAATTGTGATTGGCAGAAGCTTTTCAGGTTCGCGCCTCACTTTTTTTTACAGCAGCGGCCCAAAACGATCTAACACATGGATTTTCTGCTTCCTGATCACCTGGAGTGTGACGTATGCGGATGAAGATCGGCTTTAGAGCTGAGATGTTTGTTTTCACGGTGCGGGGACTCGTTCCGACACCCACACAGTAAAAAATGCAAATGACGACTTTTGTCATCATTGGCAGTGAATGAGTTAAATTTCCTGACATTACCTTCGGGAGAATCTGCTGAACAGTTTTTTTCTGGTAAAACAACAAGAACATTACATGGATTTAATTCTGGCTCAACCTAAACGTTTGAAGCTTAGTTTAGTTCCAGACTGTTGTGGTATCGCTTCACTAAAACCTGTCTGACCACATGAAGTAAGCTAAAACATCTCAAAAGGCAGCACAGGAATGAACCCACAGGGTTTCGTCTACAGCTGCTGATTGTTCCGAAGGTTCGCTATAAATCTCGGGGTGAGCGTGCCTTCTCACACGCTGCCTCCAAACTCTGCAACTCTCTGCCCCTCCATGAGCGTCAGGCACCTTCCCTCTGTAGGTTTAAGTCTGCCCTCAAAGCACACCATTTTATTCTGGCTTTTCCCTCGACCGTCTTCATACGTCAGTGTGACGCTTCTCTATTAGCGACAGCGTTAGCTCACTAACGTTGCTCAGTTAGTTTTTACTTGTTTGTCTTTTGTCTCTTATCTTAGTGCTTTTACTTGTTTTATGGTTAGTTAACTTATTATCATCTTATGTGTGTTTTATGTACTTAGCTTTATATTTTATTCCTATGCTGTCTTTGTTGTGTTTGAGTCTGTGGCTCTCCTGTACAGCACTTTGGTTAGCTGCCATGCTCATTTTAAATGTGCTTTATAAATAAACTGTTATGGAATGGTACATGTAACCGATTGTGCCGCACCGCCACATCAAAATAAAAGCCTACACACCTTCAAAATGAAGGTTTATTAGAGTGTCTTTGAATGCGGCGTGGTTGTTGGTGCAAGATGGGCTGGTCTGAGTACTTCAGAAACCGCTGATCTTCTGAGATTGTCACACACAACTAGGCTTGGGTGGTATCTAAATTTTAATACTGTCTAGCTTTCTCCACATTTTACCAAAGTGTACGGTATTACCAGGACTGATTTAAAAATGACAACGTAAGCTTTGAGTGGAATTACCAAGCTGTTGGTTTGGACCTTCACCGTTCAGAAGGTGAATAACAAACACCATTACTAAAACACATAACAACGTAACACTCAAAATATTAACTTGTAAAAAGCGCAGCTCATAAAAGGTTTTAATTTTGCCGGAAAAATCAAGAATGTTTATCTTTACTGGCTTCAACCTCCGACTGCTGAAAACCCGATTCCATGAGCCTGACAGACACCCCGCTACTTTGGGGCTAACCGTGACATCTGGGGAAGGCTGGCAGCTTATTTTCCACCAGAAAAGTGCGTTGTTGTCTCTTTTAATAACAGGCTCTAGACAGAAGTCTGCTATATCAGCTACGGCTCGCTCCTCTGCTGTACGTCTTTGTCACCGTATTAATAATTAAGTAAAATGCTGCATTGTGCTGCTTTTGGATGCAATTTCCAGTCAGAGGGCAACAAGGGGAGTGATGTGAGTTTACACAGCTTTCCCACTGGCGAGAAGAGAAGAAAGCAGTGGGAAGATGCCTGTGGACGGACACAACTTCCCAAAGATCCGCGGCTGTGTTCCCTACATTTTTCTCCTGATGCGTTTGAGGCTTATAGTCGACCACAACGACTTTAAAGAGCTAATCCAGCACGGCTGGGTATTAGAGAAGGCGGAAACTAAATGCTTTACCGACCATTTTCCCACACAAGGAGCCTAAACGCCCTCGGAGAGACAAGAGACGCTGGACGCTCTCCTGAGCCGACAACCCGCTCCTGCCGCTGTTGCTTTCAGCGAACCATCGGACACGCCACTCGTCACGGATGAAGCTGAACGTTCACCTCTCCCGTCAGTAAAACAAGCAGTAAGTGTAGCAGCACAGTGTTGCCCAAATATGTAATATCTGCAGAAATGATCAAAGTCGTTTTACTGAATATCCTAATCATCTATAAAGCACACGACAGCTCTGGATGCAAAAATTCCCCTAAATCATTCATAATTGAATAAGTTTGATCACACGATAGCTTACCGTTAACTTCTGCCGACACAAAAGTGAGCTCTTGACAACAAACACTCTCCCTCTCGGTTACCATGGAGACACATTTGCCGCACACGCACCACCGGTTCTGTCCTACTCTCGCCTCATCCCGCCCTTCTTGCTCTACATTTTGATGCTCGTTTTGTCAAACATGGTCAGTGATGTCCTCTTAAAGTTTCGCTCTGGTTCAAATTGAAAAGGCTGAACAGATGACATGTTGATGTTGCTAAACAGTCACTACAGAGTCCCAAAGCCGGCCGGCGCAACCAAGATAAAACCATGTGACGTCACTGCCCAGAGTGCATTGCGACGCTAACAACAATGGCGACCTACGAGTTAAACTATTTTGACAAATTTTATAAAAATAAAGACATAAAGAAGGTTTTTTTACACCATTTTAATATAGCTGATACTAACATTTATCTTTAAGAACCACAAAGTTTTGTAACTTAGGTTCCTTTTAACGTTAAAGAATTTTAAAAACCCTGAAGAGGAGGGCTTTTGGAACAAACAGGAGATATTTGGGTTCATGTAAGAAAAATGTCTCAACCGTACAACATTAATCAGGAAAATCTAAAGCTGCTGAAAGGTTCCTGTGGAGGCAGTGTCCTCACCACCACTCTGCTCGCTCCAGCTTCATCCTGACATAACCTCTGTGTGTTCAGGGAAAAACGGTGGTTCAGGCAGAGATCGACGCAGCAGCCGAGCTCATTGACTTCTTCAGATTTAATGCCAAACACGCCATCGAGCTGGAGGCCCAGCAGCCAATCAGCACACCGGAGAGCACAAACACCGCCCTGTACCGAGGGCTGGAGGTAGGAACACCATCTATTACATACCCATCCAACACAGCCTGAACAGAACCAGAAATCCAGAACAAGACATCGCTGCTGGTTTCTGTAAACTGTTACTGCAGTTTCAAAACCAGAACACCAGAGTTTAAGATCCAAAGTGCTTCGCATTTCAAATCAGATGTTTCAGAGTAGGTAACTGGACTCCATGGGTCAAAGTTCTCATGAGCTTATTAAATCATGGATCCGTTTCAGTTGCATCAGCGGATAAGAGATGTTGGTAAGTTTCAGAACCAGATGAAAACTGCTCCAGTTAAACATCTGCTCTGCTGCCGGTTCTGAACTCAGACTTAAACCTGTCTTTGTTTGTAGAAGGTGATGCTGATGAGGTCCTAAAGTTTGAGAATATGATGCTGAAGCTGTTTGCTTCTGTTGCAGGGTTTTGTGGCTGCAGTGGCACCGTTTAACTTCACTGCAATTGGTGGAAACCTGGCAGGAACTCCTGCTGTCATGGTGAGGAATGTTGACCAAAACCATCTGATGGGTTCTAATTCAGAATCAGAATCA